CAGGGGCAGCGGCATGGAGTCCCTTTGCGACGGGCTTCTGAGACCTGAAGAAGTCACTTGATGCCACGCTCCCTGGCTGCTCCTTAACGCTGGGCTGACCTTTTTAACACCCTTTGAAATACAGAGGAAGAAGGGGCAATGGAAGTAAACACAAGGCAAAAGCCTTCCTCAAGGCTCTTGGACGATTGTGTCTCCTTCAGATCTTCTGCTGTAGGGGAGACAATACCACCGCGTTCCCTGAACTGCACTTGGGTTGCCAGCACGCCTTCATGGCATCTCTTTCAAAAGATGTCCAATTTTATCTTCAGGAAAAATTTAAAGGCCCTTGATCCCCTGATCTCTGCTGCAGCTCTTAAAGAGCTTTATTGCTCCCATGTCAGTGCCCTGCAGGGCTCAGGGCATGGACAGTGTTCTGGTACTCATTCCAAAACCACTTTATTATGGGGTCGATGGCAAAGGCAGCGTCACTGACCTGCAGAGAGCTGAGCACTCGGGTCTGAGGATGGTCAGTCGGTGAAGAGTTATCTCTTTCACCAGCACGCCGCTCCTGCATGGCAGTCTCTGTGGTCAGATGAGGAGAACTGTCTTTTAAAATATTCTCCAATGGGAAAGAGCCTCTAGGAGAACAGATATCACAGCTGTTTCTTCCTTCGCCAACGTGGGTGTGTTTTCCACTCCTGGGAAGTGAGTGAGGCTTGTTCCGTTGGCACCAAATTGCAGCGGGAGCCTTGGAGGTTGAGCTGTGATCAGTACTGCACTTCGCAGGGTGCAGACTCCAAATGGTGAAAAGCAGATTGGATGCTGATAAATACCTTGAGCCTCACACAGGAAAAACTCCGTGGAAATTTCATCCTGCCTTTATACATGAGAAGCATTAGAAGTATCATCAATATTTGGGGTGGCGAAGAGATGGAATGGGAGCTCTGTCCTCCATCCTGTAGGTCAAGTGGAGTTATCTTGCTGCTGCAGGATTTAGGGGCACAGGGGACCGAGGAGCGGGGATGGGGTGGATTTTAGCATTTGCTGTCAGATATGTGTTTTTCAGACTGTCAGCTGCTTCATGTCCTGCTCCTGTGGGCAGCAGAAGCTGTGAACCATCAGGTATCTTTAGCTTAAACAACGATGATGTGAAATCACAGGCACTTCTTAGAGTGACTGTCACTTCAGAACGTTTCCCTGTTCAGCACCGTATCAGTTCTGTACAAGCCTGAGGTCGAATCGAGTTATTTACTGCTCCTTTTGCCTTTATTTCCTCAGGCAGAGTCAGAAATGGCTCTGGACGCGGAGTTCCTGGACGTCTACAAAAACTGCAACGGTGTCGTGATGATGTTTGACATCACCAAGCAGTGGTAAGCCCTCTCCGGCGGTGAGCGCCGCCTGAGCCTCGCTTCTTTAGTGCAGACAAACAGCTTCGAGACCTCCTGGTTCCCACGCGGGCTCTGGAGCTGATAACCAGCCTAATGAGTCGAAGCCAGCTTGTATCCCTTAAAATAATGGCTTGATCTGCTGACGTGTCTTTTAATAGACTCCTCTCCTGGGCTCGTTTCAAACAAGCGGGCTCCCTGTGGGCTCGTGCACTGCGCTTTCTGATAGTCTGTTGTCTGAGGCTCGGTAATTAGTGCTATCGCAGGTGCAGAGCGTGCCGGGCGTGTTCCAAACCCCGGCTCGCCAGGACATGAGCGAAAGGGGACTGCTAGTGAGAAATTCCCAGGAAGACTGCCATTAATGAGGGTTATTTAGAGGACCTGGGCTGCATTAACGTACAGAAGTAATGAACTGTTTGGTTTGCGCATTTGCTGAGGAGGGTGAGAGACATGTGGAAGCCAGAGTGGAAAGAGGAGGTGGTAAGAGTTCCTGCTTTATATTTAAACTTGTATTTTACAGGTTTGGTGCAGGTTAGTGAGCCTGTTGACAGCTGAAGGGAGAGAATCCTGTTCTTCTCCTGACCCCACAGAGCTTTGTAGCACTGAGGGGAGATGTGAGGGACTGTAGGAGACGTGAGGTTGCCGGTGGAATTGCATTATTGACCTTGTCAGGGTAGTTTTGAATAAGGAATGGCACAAATGTATTTTACAGTTAATGTGTTTTTCTGGGGGGAGTAAGAAAGCTGCAAGCTTGGAGGGATTTTGGAAAGAAGAATCTTACTCAGTCTTGGAGGGATTTGGGGAAAAAAACCCCACCAAATCTTTCTTTTTCTTTCTGTGCTGTGTGTGTAAAACTGCCCACAGAATGACGTTTCCCACTCACCTGCCTGTGTCTCTCTCTCCTGTGCTGAAGGACATTTAATTACATTCTGAGGGAGCTTCCTAAAGTGCCGACCCACGTTCCAGTGTGCGTGCTTGGGAATTACCGAGACATGGGGGAGCACCGGGTCATCCTGCCCGGTGACGTGCGGGACCTCATCGACAATCTGAACAGGTGAGGCGGCGCCGCGGTCACCAGGCCGGGGAGCAGAGCTCAGCTACTCTCTGCCATCACCCCTGTTGCTGCCATGTTTACGTGAGGTTTTCCCAATTAGTTGTCTTCTTTCTGGATAGTTCTCTTGTGAAAGAATCCTCTCCCTGCAGCACAACCGTTCTCTACTCCAAATAATTCTACTACAAGACAGCCAGCTAGTGCAGCTCTCGTCCTTGTTTTTCCTCCGAGAGCATCCCCACGCGGTGTTTTCCTGGACACAGCCAGGTCACAGACCTCTCTTGCCAGCCAGGCAAGGTGTTCCCTTATTGCAGAGATGTGAGATGCTCTGTTATTTAGCATAAAACATTATTTGTTTTTCAGGATTCAATAGCTTGTACCTTTTTTGGGCCATTTATGTTTTTAAGATGTCTTTTCTTTTTCCAAGTCTCTTACATTCCTGTGCCTGTGTCAGGCACACAGAAGGGGTATCAGGGTTTTAAGGTTAGACCCCCTAATGTAATAATTTCTTCACAAGTTCATCCTATATGTGCCTTAGCTGAGTTTAATGCCCACTGCTGAGGCTTGTGACTTCATGTTAGGCCCATTTTAAAACAAAACCTCCAGTGAGAACTGGCAGCTTACACAGCTTTGAAGCCCCAGGTCAGTAACCCAGCGGTTGCTGTCCTGACACGGTATTTTTTGGTCTGGCAGACACATGATGCTGCAACACAACAGCCGTGTCCTGCCGCCCTTCAGGGGAAGCAAAGTGTGAGTTTTGTCTGTTACCAAACCAACGAGCCCCTGGCAGAGTGACCTGCTGGCCTGCGCTTGGGGATCGAGGGGCTGGCTCTCGAAGGCGGCGGTTCGAGGTGTGCCGTCAGCGGGTGCCTCTCCTGCGCGGATGCAGCCCGTGTCCTTGGTTCAGTTTTCTTCTCTCTCCTGTCTGGTTGAGACAGGCCACCTGGCTCCTCGTACTTTCGCTACGCTGAGTCTTCCATGAAGAACAGCTTTGGCCTCAAGTACCTGCACAAGTTCTTCAACATCCCCTTCTTACAGCTGCAGGTAAGGCAGGGTGTTGCCCTGATGTGCACGGCACACATTTCCTTTGCTCTTTCTCTACAGCGGGAATTTGGTACGTGGGGTTTCTCTTGTCGTTGGAGGATCCTGAGTAAATTTTTGTTTCCGTAAGAGTTAACAAAATTATGTTGGTACGTGGGTGCCTGTGGCTTGTCTCTGCTTGTGAGAGGACTCTTCTCTGCTGTGTTCACAAATACTTGTGAACTTCATCTCCAGAGAGATGAATAATACTGGCAAGAAAATTGCGTCCAGTGGTGTAGTTACCAAGTCAAAAATACTACATATGCATATTTGTTAAACTTTATAGTTAAGTTCTGTCCAGTTAAATCTCAGATGAGAAGAGATATAGCCGTGAACTGTTCAGGTGCAACAGTTTTCTGAAAGTCTCTGCCCTAACGGTAACTGATTTGCTTGGATCCCATGCACATGGATCTAAGTCTCATATTTACTTCATCACTGAGGTTTCTTGGGTGGACTGAGGGGAAGGGCAAAGGCTGAATGGACATGAATAAAAACCCCATTAAAAAAGTCAACTTTTTGAGGAGAGAGGTGTAGAAGAGGGCTTAACTCCCTTGAACTCTCAGCTTTTTACTAAAAGTGATGTACGCGGAATGGAATTCTTTTGTTGGTCAAGTTTGGGTCACCTCTCCTATTTGTTCTTTGCTGGAGGTGCAGCCTTTTACTTCTTTGTGACCCCTTTACTCCCCGGCATTCCCAGCATGTTACACAAGATCCAGCAGTGACCTTGGTCACTACAGGAGCAAGTATCAGCTGGAGCCTTTGTGGATCCCAGTCCCTGGCAGGGCCCGTGAGCATCAGGCGCTGTCCCTTCCAGCAGCAGGCACTGCCTGAACAAACACCCTGTTCCCTTCAGAAAGTGCCGCCTCTTAGAAGAAGCTGAGCTGGAAATAGAATCACTGGACAGAATTGGTTCCGTTTAGCTCAAAGCAGGACAAAACCTGAGGTATAAACCCATCTTGCTGCTCAGTGTGGATTGAAATCTGCCAGCACAGTGTTTGGTTAAATGTTTGGGTTTATAATCTCAGCCCTCATCCTAAAGTGATACCGTGTGGAAATAAAGCAGAATAAATTAGTTCCCAGGCTACTTTCATTAATTTTGTAGATGTCCCGTTTTTCTCTCAAATAGATGCTGATACAAGACAAAGACATTAGCGTGGCCTTCCTGCCACCCTTGTTTCTGGAACCTGCTGATAATGATACTGTTAAATCAGTATATGTGGTGATTTCCCTACCCAGCGTTATAAGCAGGAAATACTGAAGCACTTGTAGTATCAGGTTTGCTTGCAAGCAGCGTTAGGATGCGAGTCTTACGGGACCTTTTGTTCAAATGTGTTGTGTATAAGTAAACGTGATCTATTAATTTGAGCCTGCAAGCAATTAGGACCCAAAGCTAGAGAACTTCTTGGCCAAATCTTGGTCTTCAGGGAAATAAGTCTCATCTACCCTTTATTTGTTTGGAGATTCCAGTGACAGTTGCTTAGGAGAGGTGAGGGCAATTACTCTCCTGTTCAGTGAGCTCGAGGTGGCACTAAGCACAATCCAAAATATTCGGGTACTACATAATCCAAATCCTGTGGTTTTCATGTAACGCAATTAAGTAATTAACCCTGCAGAAAGAAACCTGAGAAGACTTCTCGTTACAATTCAGTTTCCAAAATGAGCAAGGAGAGATTTGGAAGGGCACATGTAAACGGTGCTTGTGAAGGTGTTTGCTCTGGTTTTTGTGGCTCGACGCAGAAGGTGGCATTTGAGGAGGCTGTCCTGTGCCCGTCATTCAAGGAGGCAGCAATCAGACAGTAGCCACCTGTTTTTTCCCTTTAAAACAGCAATGCTGAAACAAATTCCTGCAGTTCAATGCTCATAGAGGGATTGCAGGCAGGTGCTTTTCTGTGCTCTCTGATAAAAACCACGGCGTAGGATCCAACGTGGAGATGGCTTCTTTCAGTTCCTCTGTTGTGCAGGAATACCCTGGCCTTGCCATTCTGTGCCGAGGCAAATGACACGGCGAATTATGGGCTTTGGTTGCTTTCACGTGGGCTTTGAGGCTTTACTTGATGTCAAACCTCAGCTGAGATGTGTTGCACTTGGGTTTTTTCTGGGGCTGCTTGTGTTTGTGCTGCAGGTTGGCTGGAGAGCTCTGGCTGCTCCGCGGTAGCTGCCACTGCTGCCACGTAGCTCTGGTCCCCACGGTGGAAGTCTCGCCTGAATAGCAGCCAGCCCAGCATGATGCTGAAATTTGTAGGAAAATCACAGCTAGAATGAATTCCAGAATCACAGAGTCACCCAGATTGGAAAAGACCTTTAAGATCATCGAGTCCAACCATTAACCCAACACTGACAACGTCCTTGACTAAAGCGGATCCCTGAGCGCTGGGTCTGCCCGACTTAAATCCCTCCAGGACGAGGACTCTACCCCTGCCCTGGGCAACCCCTTCCAGTGCCTGAGAACCTTTTCAGTAAAGAATTTTTTCCTAGTATCCAATCTAATCTTGCCTTGGCACAACTTGAGGCCTTTTCCTCTTGTCCTGTCACTTGTTAGTTGGGAGAAGAAACCGACCCCACTTCACAGAATCACAGAATTATTGAGGCTGGCAAAGCCCTCTGAGATCATTGAGTCCAGCCCATGACCCAGCACCACCACATGGGCCAGACCCTGGCACCGAGTGCCACATCCAGCCTCTCCTTAAACCCCCCCAGGGACGGTGACTCCCCCCTGCCCTGGGCAGAGCGTCCCAACCTGGGCAGGTAATTGTAGCGAACACTAAGGTCTCCTTCCTAAAGGCTGTGCCGATACCTCCGGAGCCACTTGCCAGAAAGGGGCTCCAGAAAGGAGTCGTCTCCCCAGTACTTTGAGCGAAGCAGGGTTAAAGGACGGGGATGCTGCCAGGGACTGAATCGTGTGATTTAATCCGTCTCAGGCTGCGGTTTCTGTGTTCCTCAGGCTCGTCTCCCGCAGCTCTCCAGGGGCAGAGTTGCTGAGCTGTGCGCACGATTCGGGGCCGTCCTTCAGCAGAGCTGGTGTCCAGTGTCACGTTCTGGTGTTGGGCTCACATTCATGCATCTTTCATGAGCAAAGCAGTGGCTGAAATTCATACCCCTGGCACAGAGCACGTTCCCTCCAGCAGCCCGAGCTCTTCCATTATTTATGGGTTCCTTTGCAGGGGAAGGACTGTCAAACCCGAGGAGGCAGTTTAGCTGGAGGTGTGGCTGGGGGCCCGCGTAACGTGCAAATGTGATTGGGTCAGCCGGGCCCGCGGATGCAGCGCTGGAAGGAGACAAAATTCTGCAGACAGCCGAAATTGCTTTTTCCCAGGCAGCCCTGGAAAGTGGCGTTCAGCCAAAGCGCTGGTCTGTAGCGCGATGATTTATTCCCTTCTTTTGGGTCATTGCTAAAAATAAGCTGTTTCTTTAATATTTTAATACCGACGTGGTAAAACAGAACTTGTTTTTTAAGAATTTGGAAGGTCGCTGTTAGGGGTGAATTTTTACAAAGTTAAATGCGACTCTCTTAATTAAGTCCAAGTTCTTAATTTACTGTGATCTGTGCAAATCAGAATAAATAAAACTCTGATGTGTGTCTTACTGCCAAAGTATGAGGAAAGGCAAACTGTTTGCTTGTTTAATAAAAGCCATTATCTGGGTGCCTGAGGTGAGCATTGGAGTGCAGGGTCCCTTCTGCCGCTGTTTATTCAGCTAATTTGCTCGGCATTTATTTCACTATCTGGGGAAACTGAGGAAACTTGCTCTTTTTTGCCTCATTTTTGCCTCCTTTTTCCTTGCACTGTATGAATAACGTAGAAGGATGAAAGCTATTAATTCTAAAATCTTTAATTCTACAAATCTTGAATTTGGATTCTAAAATCTGGAATTCGAATTACAAGATCTGGAATTACTTCTAAAATCCTGATTGGTACTTCTGTTTAGTGTAGCAAGTTTAAATATGTAGAGCACGTTTTGCCAGAACCTTCTTGTCTGTATACCACAATAAAGGGAATTCAAGGTAACAAAGGATTTCATGAAGTTAACTAATGACTTCGTAAAGGTAACTAACAATGCCATAATACTTTGTATACATGTTAAGTGAAGTCAGGTTTCCATCTAAGCAGAGCTTAGGGAGATGATGAACAAAAACTACCTAGCAAAGGAAATAGGGATCAGTCTAAGCTCTTAACACAATGCTAAAGATGAAGAATATAAATGTCTGGGAAGCAGTGAATTAGCTTAAGTGATCACAGAAGCTCTTAAATTTCAAGGAAGACTATATCTTCCAGTAAATCATTGTATTCAGGGGTCATCAACCACTATGAATCACCTGATCTTACAAATATAATACAAATAAAAATTACTTAAACCTTGCTTGCTCAGGCATGATGGAAGTTGATATTAGTCAGCCAGCCACATGGAGGGCTCCAGCGGTGCCCTGACGACTGCCCTGGACACAGTAGTGTCACCTGTTTTCTATAAAACAGGTTAATTCCGTGCTCTTTAAGTCTGTACACTTCCTGGATAGCTCCAAAGTTGTCCTGTCTGCCATCCTGTGTGGTCAGTAGTACACACGCAAGGCTACTGAACGCCAAGTATTATTCCAAGTATTATTCCAAGTATTATTCTTCCCACAGGGATTTTATTCTGTAAATTATATAGCAGATTGCCTTTTGTGCTTTTTACTCCCGCGGGATCTTTCTGCAGAGAGCCTGTGTGCTGTGAAACGTGGAGTGAAAAACTCACCACGGTTATGGACGCTCAACTTCGAAAATATTTGTTGTAGTAGAAAGCGTAAATGTCCCTTGAGGATAAGGCGTCTGTGAACGCAAAAAGCTTTGCAGTTTGGAGGAAACCTGGAGTTTATAAAAGCAAAAAGCTTTGCAGTTTGGGGGAAGCCCGGGGTTTCTCTTCTTTCCTCCCGGCATCCCAGGGCACCGCACCGGGCAGCGCCGCGAGGAGTTGGACGCCTCACGGCACGAGCCCCCCTGCTTCCCGTGTCGCCTGGCCTGCGGGCAGCAGGAGGGGGAGGATGATGCTTCCAAGCACTGAACATGGTGACTTTTGACTGCAGAACGCGGTGTGCCAGCCGAGTTGCGTGCCCAGGGCTGCGCGGGGCAGAGGGGAGGAGGGTGTTGGTGGGTGGGGGGCGCAGGCGGCTGTAGCCCTGGCCAGGAGAACCTGCGTCGTGTTCCTGCGGGAGCGGGTGGCACGTTGGCTGTTGCGGAGCAAGTGTGGAAAGGGAAGGAGTGGATTAAGCTACCCTGTGTTACAGGAGTGAAGCCAACTCACTTGCTTGAAAGTTTGAGAAGGACCAGACTGTGTCTCCCCCGTGTGTGGGGCAGCAAGTGAAAGCAGAGGGGCAGTGACTTGTAAAACGTCCCTGTTTTGACAGGTTGTGCTCCCTCATCTACCCTGACGGTAAAAAGAAAATTACTGTGAGGTTTTGCATCATCTGCGCCCTCTTCACCAAGGGACTTCTTTTAGAGCAGGGGGAAAACAAAAAGTCATAATGAATGGGTTGCACAGCTGCACTCGGCAGGAGCTGATGCTGTTCTCCAAATGCAACTGCTGATGCCGTGCCTGAAAATCACACGTTATTGATTTAGGGTTGAGTATAGCTCGCAGAACAAATTACTTTCTTACACACAGACTTTTTGGATTAATGTATTTTTGCTACTGCTTCAGCCTCCCTTCATGCTTCCGTGTTCGGACTGAACACCGTGAGAGGGCCCAAAGCTCCTGTTTCACGCATTGCTGCGGGCACAGTGGTGACACAGGATCTCGCTGTGCCCTGGGAGCGCGCCGAGATCTGTTCCGATGACCCTTCCTGCTCAGACTCAGCTTGTTTTCCTTTCTGCAGAGGGAGACGTTGCTACGGCAGCTGGAGACGAATCAGCTGGATATTGATGCAACTTTGGAGGAGCTGTCAGTGCAGCAAGAGACAGAAGATCAAAACTACGAACTGTATGTCCCTGAGCCGTCTTTTCTAACTGTTCTGTTGCAGTCTGGGTGTCCCATGAAAGTCGGGCGGCCCCGGCTGTGGCGTGTGGCCAGGCTGAAGGGTCCAGCAAGTGACATTTAGGGTTTCTTTGGGTCTTGTAAAATGTCACTTTGAAGCAGCATCCCCTGAACCGAAGCATGCCCCTCAGGGATCCCTGTGAAAGGGTCTGGTTCCTTCGGGCACGGGGTCTGCGGGAGGGCAGCGGAGGTGGGGCAGAGCAGCACACCTGAGGGCAGCACGTGCTGGAGGGGTTGTAGATAAGCGTGTTGCAGCCTCTCGTGCTGGATCCCCTTCCAGGATCCCCTTATTTTTTTTATATTTATCCCCTTATTTTCCATCTCTCTGCTGCTCGGCACACAAGTTGATTCCTCTTCTGGCTCTTGCATTCCAGTGTATTGTGTCTTATGATGGGCAGAAAGTCATAGCAACACCAGTGTTGTCTTTTGTTCCCTTTGAATGCTTCTAGGCTCCTCAGGGCAGTTTGGGTGTGACAGAGCGGCTGCTTCCTGCTGCCTTGTGCGTTCAGTGCCCAGTCTGTTTGCTTGCTGCTTGAAATGAGCGTTTGCCAGATTTAGCCCTGCAAAGCCACTACATCTGTAGCAAAGCGAGCAGGAATCTCTTCAGATTTGTATGTTATTGACAAATGTGTTCTATCAATTCCCATTGCAAGGTCTTTATTGCAGTGATGTGCAAGCCAGAAAAGTCAACGCCAGAATGCATTGGAAAAAAGATTCTTTACAGGCAGCTTTATCTGGAAGTTGGAATCAATTATTCTGAAATATTCATGCAAAGCCATTTTGACAAGCATTTTTTTAGACCGAGTTTCAAGTTCTGTAACCTTGGTCAGTGTGTTTTCCTTTGAGAGCCCCGAAATACCCCAGGCACAGACAAAGCAGTGCTGTTCCCGCAGCGTTCACCTCGCTCCTTTCTGTAGGGACTCGTTGCTCTCGGCAATTCTCTTGAGGTCCCTTCTCAAAGGACTGGGCTGTGGGGGCTGTGCCGGCAGGTTGTTTCCAGTGTTTTTGTGCATACTGCATCGGTAACGGGAAGCTACCTAAAAGAATCAAGAGCTGGCAGAGCTGTTCCAAACTCACACCAGAAGATCTGCTGCTTAGTCACCTCATCCTTACCCCCAGCTTTAGCATTTGCTGAACCCTCCCGTGTGCCGATTCAGTTCACCAGTCCAGCAGAAAACTGTCTTCTGCCCTGTCTGCTTCTGGGGTAACCTCAGCTGGGCTGGCTCTGAGAAGCATCTGCTTGACACCCAAGCTTGAGAGAAGCAGCAGCAGGGCTGTTGGCAGGGGTGGGGTGCAAGGCCTCCTATTTCCAGCAATATTTCAGCCATATTCACAACGACACACGCTGTTCTGTAATGCTGATGTGCTTGCACTGGCAGAGAGTGCTCTTTCTGGGTACGTGCTCCTGCAGAAATACAGAATTACACCACTTGTGATGTGGTGGCACCCAGAATCAGAGAATCAGACCGGTCACATTGCTTTAGGTACTGGTCAAAAGGCCTTTTGCAAGCTCAGAGGAGCTTTTCCTGCCGTCCATAGTGGCACGAAGCCCCTGAGTCATCTGCAGAAACTCCAGAGCCAGATGAACATTTGACCCCTGTGTCAGTGCCCTGTCATTTTCCAGACCAGCTTGTGAGCACGGGTAGAAGAGGTAACGGGGTGTGGGCGCCGCTCAGCTGCTGGGGAGGGCTCACGCCGCAGGAGGCTGATTGCACTGTTGGGCTGCATAAACTGTCTTAACATGGCATAAGAAAACCGGGAGGGGTGGCTGACACCCAGGCA